GAATTTAGGGTTTAGGGTTCAGGGCTCGGGTTTCCATAACGGCAACCACAGGGCCTGTATGGCTTAGGGCTCTAGGGCTGTAGGGCTTGAGGTTGCGCGGGAAGCGAAACTTGGAGTTCTCTATCTGCAAAGGTTTAAGGTTGAGGGTTTGGGAGCTAAAGGATTAAAACATCAGGGATCTAGGGTTCAAAGACTTGTTAAGGTTTGTTACGAAATGGGTTCCAAAAGGGTTGCTGTAAAAAGGGCTCTAGAAGGCTGCAAGAAGTGTTACTATAACGACGGTACTTATAGGATTCCAAGAGCTCTATAAGGGCTCTATGGTTAGTACGCTTATGTACTACAACGGGTCAGGATTTGAGTGTAGGGATTTTAAGGCTTATGGATTTCGGGCTCGAACCCTAAACTAAACCCTAAACCCTTAACCGCCGCAGAATCCGATGTCGACTGAGAAGCCGCTTGGAGCGGATCAGCTCTGCCACGGAGGCGGCCACGGAGCCCTCGCTGTAGGCGAAGTGCAGGGGCACGGGTCGGTCCTGAATGGGTTTAGGGTTTAAGATTTAGGCATGTTTAGGGTTTAGGGTTTAGGGTTTAGGGCTTTAGGGTTTAGGGTTTAGGGTTTAGGGTTTAGGGTTTAGGGTTTAGGGAAGCCCCCAAAAAAAACAAATGCTTCAAGCTCGCAGGGCATAGGGTCCGAAGGCCCCGACAGACCACCTGCAACATCAAGTTCCCTGTTCCCGTGGGCCTTCTGGCCGGTTACAGTAACTCGTGTAGTAAGCCTTATAGTAACCCCTTATAATAAAACTACAGTGAACCCTCATAGTCCCTTAGAGTAACCCTTGCAGCAACCCTTACAGCAACCATTATGTTCATAGCGACCCTGCATCTGAACCCTATACCCTTAGAGCAATCCTTATACTTATTGTAGCCCTAAACCCTAAACTCCTAAACCCTAACTCCTAGACCCTAAACCCTAAACTCCTAAACCCTAAACCCTAAACCCTAAACCCCTAAACCCTAAACCCCTAAACCCTAAATAGTAACCCTTATGGTACGGAGGTCCTGGGAGGACACGACACGCACCGGCCGCCCCGAGCGGCTCTGCAGGGTGCGGTAGAGGCTGTCGTTGGCGCCCAGGGTCCCAGACATCAGCAAAAACCTAGTTTAGGGTTTGGGGGTTTAGGGTTTAGGGGTTTAGGGTGTAGGGGTTTAGGGGTTTAGGGTTTAGGGGTTTACTGTTCCGGGGTTTAGGGTTCCGGGGTTTAGGGGTTTAGGGTTTAGGGTTAAGGGGTTTAGGGTTGGGCTTATCGGTTAGGGTTTAGGGTTTAGGGCATGGAGGGCTTAAGCCTTATAGTTTTGGAGTTCAAGGTTTCGATTCTTCAAGGATGAGCATACACGGTTTGGGGCTTAGGATTCAGGGTTTAGGGTTACCATTCAGCTTTAAAGAGAACTCCTGAAAGCAATCGCAACTGAAAAGTGTACCCAGAGAGCCCAATACCCCTTAATTAAGGAATATACCTTAAATTAGAGGGGCCTTAATATTATGATTTATGGTATATTCCCTCATTCAGGGGGTATTTGGGCTCTCTGGGTACTACTGAAAAGTCGAGCATCGTGGTGGAGGAGAGAGGCCCGGTCATGCGCCAGAGTGGTACCTCCCAGGCAGAACCACGGTCGGGATCGGCGAAGTAGTGGAACTCGTCCATCACCACGGTGGTGATACCGGAAGCCTGTTAGGGTGAAGACAATACGGTTCCCTTTAAAAGGGTGCTATAGGGTTCCAAAATGGGGTCGTCGCTTTCAAGGACCCCGATCGTGCAGGGTTTGGCGTTTAAGGGTTTAGGGTGTGAGTTTGGGGATGTGGCTTAGGGGTTTAGGCTTTGTGCTTGCAGCGATGGGACGGGGTTTAAGGTTAGGACACCTAAACCCTAAACCCTAAACCCTAGTTAGGATTTAGGGGTGTTGGAGTTTTGCCGGAAGCCTGCCCCTCATGCAAGGAAATGCTGGCCAAAACCTCGGCAGTGCAGCAGATCAGGGGCGCTCGCTGGTTCAGGGAGATGTCACCCGTAGCCATGCCCACGGAAGCAGGCCCAAAGTGTCGGCAGAGATCGAAAAACTTCTCACTCGTCAGCGCCTTCGTCGGGGAGGTGTAGTAAGCTTTGCCGCCTTCTGCAAGCGCCTTGAAGAGTGCCGCAACCGCAACCAAGGACTTTCCACTCCCTGTCGGTGTGTCCAGCACAACATGGGCACCGGAGAATATCTCCACGATGGCCTCCTCTTGGGCCTCATAGAGTTGGACACCTCTCTCTTCAAGTGCCTGCAACAGGGAATACTATGACAGAAACTGCATGGGCTACTAATAAGGGGCGACTAGAATAGGGTCTAGGGTTTAGGGGTTAGGGTTTAGGGTTTAGGGCTAGGATTACCACATGAGGCTTATAAAAGAAAAGACTTCAGGCGCCTGCATGAAGTGGAGCAGCAGATCTTCTGATGTTCCGCTGCCAGTAGGCAGATGCCTTTGCAACCAGGGCTTTTGCTGAAGCCGATCCTCCGCCAACTCCTCTTCTGCCTCCTGCACGACCACCGTGGCCTCCGGCTGCTCTAAACTCGAAACTATGATCTCTCTTTGCTTGTAGAAGAAGCATGTGACGGTATGGTTTAAGGTTTAGGGTTTCGGGTTTAGAGTTAGGGTTAAGAGTTAAGGGTAAAAAGCAGTAATAAAAATAACAATAACAGTATCATCAGTAATGAATAAGAAGACTAGCAATTAGACTATGAATCCTAATAATTTTATAATCCTGTACTTGCCAAAATGCTAACAATGCGAAGCCAGAGAGCCCAATCACCCATTAATTAAGGAATATACCTTAAAATTATAATATTAAGGCCCCTATAATTTAAGGTACATTCCTTAATTACGGGGTATTGGGCTCTCTGGGAACCCTAAGCCCCAAAACCCTAAAACCCTTAAACCTAAAACCCTTAACCCTAAAACCTCATGGCCCCCGCACTCCCCGGCGCTCCGGCCTGCCCAATGCGGACCTCCGCATCTGCCGAGGAGACCACCGCCTTGACGATCCTGCGGGGAATCCCAAAACCCTAGCTCGGTTTTGTTGCGAGTGTA